TTTTGCATATTTTCCCTGTAAGGAAAAATATGACGTAAAAACATTCACGGGATATCAAAAACAACTCTAACAGAACCAAATACTGTTGTCTATCAGCAGTGAGTTCCAACAGAAGCAAAAGTGGACATTTCACGGCGTATGGTGCTGAAAGGCGAGAGTTCAAGTTCCGTGGTGTATTCGTTGTCATTGTCATCACTGGTCACTGTTGAGGACTTCTGAATGCACTCGTCACAACAGCAGCAGCAACATTCCATAAAGGCGCGGCTGAAGGGTTTGCAAAGACAGAAAAGGAGAACTGGGGTAACACAAGACTTGAAGAACAAAAGCAACTGGCTGATGATATTCAGAAGGTCCATTGTCTGTTGTGAAACTCCTGTAGCCATGTAGGCAGTAACAATGTTACAGATATTTTCAGGAATGATGCAAAATCCATACAAAATGGTCAAAGCCACGACTGTACAGTTCATCTGGCTTTCAAGTTGAATCTGCCGCTTATTCCCTCGCGTGCAGGCCTTCTCTGCTTTGCGGATTTTCCTTGCAGTCACTAGAGAGCAGGTGATGGTGAAGAGTGTGGGCAAACAGAAGTAGCAGCCAAAATACCACCAGAGCCTCGCGCTGTCGTAGGTGAGGGCTAACACATAGATGGTATCCGGCAAATCTGGAGAGACCTTGATGATGCACCGTTCTGCAGGGGCGCGGCCGCTAAATCCCAAATCCTCCTTGCTCAGCTGGCGGAGAACAACTTCGGGAAGAGCAAGCAAGAGAGCACCAATCCAAATAACAGCAAGTTTGGCAGTTGTTGACGAACAGTTTTCGATCATCTCATAGTACATCTGTACATTGGTGGCAGCACGAAAGCGGTCTATACAGAGCGCACACAAGGTGAACGTGGTGACGCCAAGGGAAGCAACCTGCGAGAGGAACAGAGAACGCATTTATTTCTTGTCGTCTATGCCAGATCAAAGCACGAGGAAATAAATAGAGATTGGTAAAAACAGTACAAATCAGAAATAATGTCCTGGAACAGGGCACAGGGAATTGAGCTGAAGTTGGTGACTTCAGCTGGATCCGAAGAAGCATAAATCTGTGGGACTCGATTCTGACTCAAGGAGACACATGCATGTGTGTCAGAATACAACTGCACTTCCTAGTGTTTTCAATGACTGGGTTGTTTGTGTTTTTGAAGTACAGGCAGCCCCCCAATGACAAAGGAGTTCCATTTCTGAAGGTGACTTCTTAGTCAGAACATTTAGCTACAGTTTGTATTTTAACATCACTCAGTCCAGGACTCCTGGTGTGGTGCTCTGGGTTAATGCGCCAAACTACAAAGTCAGCACTTCAAGCTCACCAGCTGCTCCTTGGAAACCCTATACAGGGTGGCTATGGGTTGGAACCAACTCAACGGCACTTAACAACAAGTCCAATGTCTGTCTACGTACAGAATACACAGTGCAGAAAAAACATCAAACACTTCCAGGCACACTTAAACATCTTTGACATAATACAGCAACAATAATGTTTTCGTGCATGTCACATAGTGCCCGCTTGTTATTACAAACCTTCATGTGTACCTTGAATTTTTAATACGATAGGTTTCTCAGGGGTAGGTTCATAACTATGGGTTGTACATAAGTCAGTTGTTGATAAACCAGAGACTGCCTATAGATCCATAGGACTTTCTTCTAATGCATTACTGAGTGGACTCAAACCTTGAACCTTGTCATTAGCAGCCAAGAACATTAGCCATCCACACCTCCCCATGTTAACTTGATAGTAGAAAAACAAAATTTAATGGTTCAATTAAAAAAAAAAAATTTAATGGTTCAGGAGTCTAAGAAAGCTGGAACTGGAAAAATATTTAGTGATCAGCTAGTCCGATACCATTCCTGTTTTTTGGGTTTTGTTTAGTATACTTTTTTATTATTATTATTGTGAACTGAGTGATAATTCACATGGGAGTACATGGCTTTACACCATCATTTTATTGCAATGATTACAATCTCCTCCATGCACCATCATTCAACAGTATTTGCTCCCATTCCCTCTGGGTTGTGTGTGTGTGTGTGGGGGGGGGGGCAGTAGTTGTTTTTGTTTTTGGTAATACCATTATTTTATAGATGAGAACATAGAGAGTCCAAGAATTTCAGTCACCACGAAAGTGCCTGGAAATCTACACAAGGAGTAAAGAGAGTTGAATAAATGTCATTTCCATTACTGAAAAGGATGGTCATAATCCCTGATGACGGGGTCAGTACTGTGTCTGACAGACACACAGCAGGCATTCAGGAACTTACTGTTTCTAAGGGGCAATGTCTTCTACATGTCAAATAAAATAGGATTACTTTCAAATACATATGCTATGGAAAACAAAGAAGAGAACTTCTCTGGAGACCAGAATCAATGAGAAAACAAATTTCACAGAAGTCAGTGGTCCTTCCTGTTGCTGGGTGCTTGCCCTGGTGAGGAATCCAAGTTAGGTTTACCTAGAAGGACAGGGCCAAGTGACCAGGTACACAGAGTGAGGAGACAACACTAGGGCTGACACAGTGGGGAGTTCGTCAAAGATCCCCCTTACTAATTTAGAATTTCATAAAAAGTGACATTTTCAGTGGTGTAGAAGAAAGAAGACAGAAATAGGGAGCTAGGGAGAAAAAAGTGAAGAAGAAGAAGAAGAGAAAAAAAAACCTCGCAAACTCCTAACCAGGGGCCTGAACTTACAAGGTATTAGGGACAGAAGTCAAACCGTATCTATGGCTCAGAAAACCCCCAAATGCAATTTAAAGTTGCTGTCAGCACCTGGTAAAAGCAAACACAAACCATCATCTTTGGAAGAATGTACTTAAAACCCAGGTCAGAGAAATCCCACTGATAAGATTTAAGGGAACATAAGTTCAAAATAAAAAATCACACAGTATGTAAACAACAACATGTCACTATGAGCTTGTGTGCCAAAGTAAACAACCAGTTATGGGATCAGACATAGAATAAGCAAATCTATCCTGAAGTAGGAGTCCTGGTATGGCACTGCAGGTTTATGTGCTGGACTGAAAAAGTCGGTTCGAACCACAAGGTCAGTGGTTCAAGCTTACCAGCCACTCCTCAGAACCAAGGTCGCTATAGGTCAGAACCGACTCAATGGCACTTAACAACAACAATAACAAACTAAGGCAGTGGTAGTGGCAAGGGAGGGGACCATTATGATATTTGACAAACAGGTAAGCAGTAAAATTAATAAATTTGGAGTATTCATCACTGAAGAAGAGAAGGACTAAGAACTGGTGGCCAGGAGCAGACTTGCAGAATGTGCCCTTTGGAGATGTAATTTATTATATATGTCTGAGTGGGTTTTTTTGTTTGTGTGTTTTTTAAAAAAGCTAAAGTGGATAGAGAGAAATACTTTTAACTGATGGTATATGGAGGGGATTATAATCAATGTAATGAAACA